GAGGGCTAAAGCATACCACCCGTTTTTAAATGGGGCATTTTAGTCCTGTGTAATTTTATGGAGGCTGTGAACTAAATTTTGGGTGAGGGGCAGAGAAACATCAAACAGCCATCAGGGTTTCTCCAAATCTGAGTAAATAAAATATCCAGAGTGTTTCTAATTAGAATGTTCACCCTCAGTTTTTTGCTTTGGGGTTCCTGAATTCCTGGAGAGCACCCAAAGGGGGCAGGGGCAAAAATATCTAGTGACTATGGGCAGTTGAGAAGCTGAAGTTGGAAGGGAAAGGTCTGGAGGGATGCATAGAACGATGAGGGGAGTAGGGGTGTGGAAGGGAGACAGAGAAAAGGATTCAGGTGAGTTGAAGGGAAGGTCTAAGAGGTGGTAAAAAGGAGGAAGAAGGACTAGGGATGAGAGGAAGGGAGAAATCTTAAGTGAGCCAGTTTGGGGAGAGCTCCATTTTCCCAAAGAGGCTATTAAAGTTAAAATTTTGCCAATTTTGGAGATATTGAACTGAGTTAGTTCTGTCATACCGAAGCATGCAGTGAGCAGGAAGGAGAAGGGGGGGTATTAGCAGATAGTTAAACCAAAGAGAAAAAATTTTCACAGGGCCAGGAAATACTCTTACTTGTTTTAAGTTCCCACACTCCCTGAGTCTGAGGGCTAAGAACACCCCACTCAATCTCCAGGTTCAGAAGCCTAAGGACCTCCATCCTTGAGCCAATGCAACCCTTCCATGGGATCTCTGAGATCAAAGAGCAGTGAGAACTGCCCAACCCCAGCTCCCACCCTGAGAGCAATCTCTGGAAAAGAGTGTGAGGGAACCTCCCTCAGTCTCCCAGTTCATAGAGCCAAAGAGCCCTCCTTGCAATTTCTGCCGCCAGAGAGGCCAGGGAAACCTTCCCCAAATCTCCCAGGTGGGAGAGCTGATATAACCTCCTATGCAGTTTCTGGATTCAAAAGACCTCTCCCTCCCAACTTCTGGGTTTGAAAACCAAAGATAGTCCTGTTCAGCCTCCTGGGAGGGAGAGCCAGGGAACCCTTCCCCCACCCATGCCATATCTGGAGTGGGGGGGAAGGGGAGAAAGAGGCCTCACAGAAGGGTCAAGGCAAAGTCTTTTTGCCAGAAGAATCAAAGTAATCCCTTATTATAATGTCACAAGTAACAACTATCAGGTCACTGCTGGCTCAGGGGTCTGTGGGAAGCAGAGGAGCTAAACCAAATTTTGGTAATAATCACTCTACTCTGTTCCTACTTATTGATTAGTGGAAATGAAGCAAAGAAGGGACATTTGGAGGGTCCTTGTCTAGTCTTGTCAGACATAAACAACAGGGGCATTCCTGAGTCATATGGGAAAAAGGGGGTTGTGTGAGTTTGCACAGTCTGCCATAACAAGACTGGGTGGCTCAACACTGGAAATGGGTTGTCTCATAATTTTTGAGGCCAGAGGTTGGAGATTAAGATTTGGTTGCTTCCTTTTGAGGGCCATGGGGTTGAGCGGGGATGGGGGGTGAGGGGTGGGGGGTGGGAGAAGAGTATTCAGGGCTCTCTCATTGGCTTGCTGATGGCCTCCTCTCCCTGTGGCTCTTCACATCATCTTTCCTTTATGTGTGTCTATTTATCTTTACACCTAAATGTCCCCTTTTTATAAGGATACTGGTTGTACTGGATTAGGGTCCACTAATAACCTCACTTTACTTTAATTCCATCTCTAAAGACCATGCCTCCAAATCAGGCACATTCTGAGACACTGGGGATTAGGACTTCAACATACAAATTTTGGTAAGGATGCAATTCAGCCATAGCAATTTCTTGCAATAAGTTATTTTTTTTAGGACATAAAAGGATAGATTTCTTTTTAATGAGTTAATTTAAAAATATTTTTCTTGATTTCAGAGAGAAAGGGAGAGGGAGAGAGAGAGAAACATTGATGAGAATCACTGATGGCTGCCTACTGCATGTTCCACACTGGGGATGGAGCCCATCATCTGGGCATGTGCCCCGACCAGGAATTGAACTGTGACCTTTTAGTTCATAGGTTGACGCTCAATCACTGAGCCATGCTGGTCGGGATAGAGTTCTTTAATTATCGCTCTTTTCGAGAATCACAGGATTCAAGGGAGTTCAACATTGTCAGCAGGCCATGAGGAAGGAGCAGGGCAGCCAGAGGTGCTTGCTGCCGATGTGCTCCAAGGAAGGATTTGCTCTGGGCTCCAGGAGGAGGAAGTGGCATCTAGAGGGGGATTGTGGCCTTGAGAAGTGGCCCCTAAACGATGGGCTTTAGGTAGGAAAAAGCTCATTGGGCAGACGGGGCTCACGGGCACTGGCTATGGGGGAATGTGGGGTGCAGAGCAGCAGGGGACCTGGACCTGTACCCCAAGTCTGAGGAACTGGCTGGCAATTATCTGGGCTTCAAACCTTGTACTTTAGGCTCCAGGTGAAGGAGCTGGGGCAATAGCGAGAAAAGACAACCGGGAGAAAAACTCTCACTAATCTCTTTGTAAATAGTCTCCCTCTGGGGGAAGAGGACAAAAGGCTGGAAGGGGTGGCCCCTAGGTGGCAGCCAGGGACCTCTCTTTTCTGTGCCAGCCCAGAAGGAAGTGAGCTGGTACCCAGAACCCAGAAGCTAGCCCTCCTCCTGTCAACTCTCCACGGGAGGGGTGGGAAAGTGGCTACCAACACACAGTTCTAGAAGAATTCCAAACACATTAATTGCCCAACACACACGCACCCTCACACCTGTTCCCCATTCTTTTCTCTTCAGCCAGCATGCACCCGTATGCCCACAAATATCCCTCTGTGGCTGTACCGATGCTGGCCACTTGTTAGAGGGCAGGAGTAGGCTGATCATGGAAGGGTAGACAGGCACGCAGCCCCATCCTGGAGTCCAGCACCTGGCAGGGGTGTCCAACCTCTCTCCCAGGCCCTTCTGTGGCCAGCTGGTCTCTGGAACTGTACCTCTGACCTCTCTGACCCATATGGGCACCCTGAGCCCCCACACCTCTGCCAGGAATCCTATGGCCGCTGGCCTGCCTGCTGTCCTTTCCCTTCCCTTCAAAGTCTAACCCACTTATTCCTGATGGACCCAGAGCTTCCTGGGCATGCAAGATTCTCTCCTGTGCTCACAAGTTCCTGCCAACTACGCCATCCAGCCCAGAAGACTTCACAATCCTCGCGGACAATCCCCTACCACATCCCAGGGCTGACTTGGAGTCCCAGGCCATCATTGTGCCCCAAACCCGCGCCCAGCACACCCTTTTCCCAATTGCGCGCAGCAGTGGCGAATCTCTGATGTAACATTTAAGGAAATTTATTGAAGAAAAACATTTACTGAATCCACTGGGGGGGAAAAGGAATTAACAACAAAAAAGAACTTCGAACAGCCACTAGAGTACATAGTTCACACGCTTTCCTCCTGGGGTCCCTGAAAAGGGGCCTCAGCTTCCTACCACACACGGCCCTCCCACCACAGTCTCCTTCCCTGAGGGCCCCACCATGGTCTTTGCAGGATAATGGACACTGGTGTTGTCCACTCACTGCAGGGCTCCCTCCCCTTCTGGACGGCACGCTGGGGCCTGACCCTGCCCCAGGTCTGTTCAGGTAGCAGATGTCTTCAGGTGCCCCTCATTTAGGCCTGGGAAGGCTGCTCAGGAATGCTCCCAGGCTGGCTGCCCAAGGTGGCAAGGTCTGGGGCCGAGGCTGGCCTTGGCATTGGTGGCTGCTGAGTGGTGGTTCACCAGGTCAGTTCCTGTTTTTCTGCCTGCTCGCTCCATACCTCCAGTGGCCCTGCATAAACAAACAGAACAAAAAACTGCCCCTCCCAATAACTCCCCCCCCCCCTTTCTCCTCCTCCTCTGCTTACCTCCTGTTCTCCTCCTCCTCCTCTCCTGATATCCTCCTCTGTGGGAACCCTTAACACGACCCGCGTGATTAGGGCCCACTTTCCTCCTCTTCTCCTGCTCACCTCCTGTTCTCCTCCTCTCCTACTTATCTCCTGTTCTCCTCCTCCTCCTCTCCTGCTCACCTCCTGTTCTCCTCCTCCTCCTCTCCTGCTCACCTCCTGATATCCTCCTCCTCTCCTGCTCACCTCCTTAAATCCTCCTCTGGGGGAACCCTTGGGAACCCTTAACGCGACCCGCGTGATTAGGGCCCACTCTCCTCCTCTTCTCCTGCTCACCTCCTGTTACCCTCCTCCTCACCTCCTGATATCCTCCTCCTCCTCTCCTACTTACCTCCTGTTCTCCTCCTCACCTCCTGTTATCCTCCTGCTCACCTCCTGTTATCCTCCTCCTCCTCACCTCCTGTTATCATCCTCCACTCCTACTTACCTCCTGTTCTCCTCCTCCTCCTTTCCTGATCACCTCCAGTTATCCTCCTCCTCACCTCCTGTTATCCTCCTCCTCCTCCTCCTCTCCTGCACACCTCGTTATCCTCCTCCTCCTCCTCTCCTGTTATCCTCCTCCTCTCCTACTTACCTCCTGTTATCCTCCTCCTCACCTCCTGATATCCTTTTCTTCTTCTGCTCACCTCCTGTTATCCTTTTCCTCTCATGCTCACTTCATTATCCTCCCCTTCCTCCTCCTGCTCACCTCCTATCCTCCTCCTCTGCTCTCCTCCTGTTCTCCTCCTCCTCCTCCTCCTTTTCCTCCTCCCCCTCCTCCTCTTTCCCCTCCTCTTTTGTTCACTTCTGGTTATTCTCCTAGTTTTTCTCCTCCCTCTCCTCTCCTGTTCACTCCTGGTTATTCTCCTCCTAGTTTTCCTCCTCCCCTCCTTCTCCTCTCCTCATGCTCCCCCCTTCTCCTCCTGCTTTAGAACAAATCCCCCTCCTCTCCCCTCCCACCCCAACCAGCTGTGGTACCAGCCCAGGTCCCCATCCCCCTGCAGGCTGAGCCCAGGCTGTTGCCCAGGGCTCTCCTCTCAGTCTCTGCCCTCCTGCCCACCATAGCCTTTCCAGGCTGCAGGGGGAGGAAATGCCTGCAGGCTGGGCCGGGCTGTCCTGGTCTCACTTGCGCAGGGGCTCCAGGGTGGTGCCTTCATGGGGCTTCCCCAGAGCAGTGTAGATAATCCTGAAGACGGGCTGGACTCTGCGGCCTCCCTTCCGGGGGATCACCACCCCATTCCCACCACACGGCTCTTCCTCAGCACTGGTGCTGGCTGCTTCTGGCAGGGGTGGCCCCGGGGAAGGTTCTTCTGGGCTTGGTGGGGCCCATGGGCCTGTGGGCATTCTTAGCTCTGAGTTCATCGGGTGGGCATTTGGGGGAGGCCAAATGACTGGGCCCATGCCTGAGTCCTCAGCTGCAACTCCTTCAGCCTCTGCTATGGTGGGGCACCTACTCAAGGCTTGAACACCCCATGTGCTGGGTGAGGTGGCCGCTTGCTTGTGTCGCTGGTAACTATTCGGGGATCTATGCTTGCCTTTCCCTGAGGGGAGGTTGGCCTCATGGGTAGAGTCCCATTCAGCTGCTGGAGAATGAGGGGGCTTGGCTTGTGCCTGACTGCCCTGCCCCTCTGCCCCATTCAAATATTCTGTTTGCACGGAATGCCCCTTCCCCTTGTTAACATTTCCCTGCTGCCTGCTAGGGGAAAGGGTGCCTGGATTCTTTGAGCCTATGCTGCCTAGGGCTCGGGGTGGCTCATGCCCCCAGCCCCCATCTCGTTTCCCGACTCTTCTTCAAGCTGAGGCCTCTCCCTTTCTGGTGATGACGGTTCGTCCTTAATGCATGTGTCCTCTTCGCTATTGAGGCGGGGCACTTTCCTGCGCCTAAATGACACATTGCTAATCACTTCCTGGGTGGTCTGAGTGCTGCTATCGCAATACTGCACTGCCTGCTGGGGGGCCTGAGGTGCGGACTGAGTGACTTCCTCCAGTGCCTGTCTGCTGGAAGGACTGCGGCTCCTTCCCGCCAGCTTTTGCTTCTGCTTCAGCACGGCCATGGTGACTTCCCATTCCTCTTCATCTCGAACGAGCTTCATTAACTCTAGGAAAGTGGGAGGACACCCTCTCTGATCCAGGAGCTCGAGCTTGCCGCGGAGGGTGCCGCTCAGGTTGGTACGAGACAGGACGTGTTTCAGGCGAATCATATCTGTGCTCCGCATTGACGCAGGGTTGTGCTGCAAGGCTTTCTGCAGCAGCGGCTCCAAGCGCACCAAAAACACCGAGATTTTCTCTCCGATCTTCTGAACGGTCTGGAGGAACTTGAACTGCGAGGTTCTGGAGTCCTCTTTGCTGCCAAAAATCTGCTTCAGGGTGTCCAGGCATTGCTCTGCGGTCATAGAGTCATTGTTGGCCCGGAGCACCCGCATGATGGACAGGGCGGGGCCACGGAGGCTCTCCAGCAGCCTCCGTATCTTCTCTGCCTCGCACACTTGCCAGACCTGCATCACCTCAGTGACCTGCTCCAGCCAGACTTCAAAGTTCTCTTCGCCCGGGCCTGCAAAGACATTTCCTGAGAACATTTTGATTTTCCGGTACCACATGCTTTCTTTCTGAGGCTGAAAACCTCTGGATTTGTCTAGGGGAGCGTCACCTGGCTCCTGGTACTCAAGGGGAAGAGCGTACCCCAGGGCACTGGCCACATCTGCCATCTTCCGGCCCTCGTCCTTCAGGAAGCAGCTCAGTCTAGTGATGAATTCATCATCTGGGTTACGGGGTTTCACCACCACTTCCCAGGCACCCCCTTTTCCAGGTATCTGATTGGGTGTCTTGGCATAATTGACGGTTTCTCCCAATTCGATGATGACTGCCTTAGCATTGTCTTGCCTTCTGAACATTCTTCCCAGCACCCTGTATGGGCACACGGGCTGTAAGCCTGCCCTGATAGTCTCTTTAATTTCATTCTCAGTGCACTCCACGGGGATCCCCACAATCAGCAGGGCCTTCCTGGGGTCTAGATCCATTCCCTTGCACCAATCCTCTAACAGTGTCAAGGCCATTGCTCTAACTTTCTAGGGACTGATCTAACACTAGGGGTAGTACTCTGCTACAGACTTGGTCAGCTGTGAACCAACGGCAAGTACAAAGGCAGAAGAGTCCCAGGTGTCCACAGCCTGTAATGCAAATGGGGTGAAAGCATCATTATTGCCCACTCCCACACTCCCCAGCAGCCCCTCTTCTGCCCCAACCTCCACTCACAGGGATTCAGTCCCTGCCTCCCAGGCCCCCCTAATCATGTGGTGGTATGAAGAGTATAGAAGGGTCCCCCCAGTCGAAACTCCCTCCACCTCATGGCTTCCCTACTGACCTCCTGCTGTGGGTTCTTCCTCAAAGTCTAAGGACTCTGCCACAGGAGCTGCAGATGCCTGCGGTGAAAAGGCAGCATTAGGAGGCGGGGCCTGGCGCCTGAGGACCCTGACAAAGCCCTCCAAGCAGGAGATCAGGAGAATATCCCACTCCCTGGCACAAGGATGTACAGGCCCGGGGCACCTGGCACCCTCTTTGCCAGGGCAAAGGTGGGAGGAGGAAAGTGCGGAGTTCTCTTTGCAGTAAATGCCCAACAGCAGGAAGATGGCTGGAGTTCTACACAATGCAATTGAACTGCTGGGTGTGGAGAGCCTCAGAGAGGTGCAGTGTTGTCATGGATACTAAGAACAGTGGGGAACATGGGTGTCATATGGTAAGGTTAAGACCCTCTAGGAGCAACAGGTGATGTCACTGGCCTCCAACCAATTAAGTTTCTAGCAACAAAGGGGGTTTGGGGGAGTGAGGTATGTGTGTGGGGGGGTGAGCAGCAAGGATTCAGTGCTCAAAAATCAAGAGCTTATGACTTTGTTTTTATTTTATATATATATTTTATTGATTTTTTTACAGAGAGGAAGAGAGATAGAGAGCTAGAAATATCAATGAGAAACACATCAATCTGTTGCCTCCTGCACACCCCCCACTGGGGATGTGCCCGCAACCAAGGTAGATGCCCTTGACCGGAATCAAACCCGGGACCTTTCAGTCCACAGGCTGTCGCTCTATCCACTGAGCCAAACCGGTTTTGGCAAGAGCTTATGACTTTAAATTGCATAGGAGCTAGAATCAGAAAAGGGACCCAGAAAAGGACTTCAGTGCCACACTGCGGGAGACAGACAACTGTCCCTCTAGTTGTGACCCTAACAGCGAAGAATCTGTACACATTGACAGGCAGCCCCGCCTCCCCTTTCTCCTTGCAGGGTTACAGAAACCTTTCCTCACATAGGCCCCCATCAAAGTTGCTCACCAGTCAGAGTAGAGTCCTCCGACAGCACAGATGCGGGGATTCCACCCACAGTCAACCTTCAGCTCTCCAGTTCTGTCCAGTCCAGCAGCTCCTGCCCCGAGGGCAGGGAGTACGGCTCCACTCAATCTGTCCCAAGAAAAAGCAGAGGTGTTTCGCTAGGGTTCTGAGCCATGTGTCCCCGCTCAGGCTGTACCCATTCTGAGTCTACCAAACTGTCCATAAGTACCCGGCTGCAGGGATACAAGAAACTGCTCTCTCGGGGCCACCGCTACAGCAGAAGTAATCCTACTTTAAGGTTATCTATCGCCCCACCCTCAAGTCCGCCCCCACTCCGCCCACATACCCACCCACTCTCATGCCCCACCCCCAACGAAGCTCAGCCTCTCAACCAAGGCCCAACCAGCAATCCCGCTTCCACCAAGTTCCAGCTCCACAGTTCAAGTGTCACCCGCCCACACCCATATCCTACTCCTACAACTCACTTTACACCCCTCTCACGCCTTACCGTCATCAAGCCCCATACCCACCCAACCCGCTACTCAGCTCCAGCCCCACAGAAGCTCAATTCCCTGTCCTCACACAACTCCTACCCCTGCCGAAACCGGTTTGGCTCAGTGGATAGAGCATTGGTCTGCGGACTGAAAAGTCCCAGGTTCGATTCCGGAGGGGGTGTGCAGGAGGCAGCTGATCGATGATTCTCTCTCATCGATGTTTCTAGCTCTCTCTCTCTCTCCCTCTCTGTGAAAAATCAATAAAATATATTAAGAAAACAACTCCTACCCCTGCCACTCATGTTCCACTCCTTCCTAAATCCACCACCACCAAGCTCCACCCCACCCATGCACAAGCCGACACTAAGCCCCATCCTGTCCTCCTGTCACTCATGTTCCACCCGCCAACCCTGCTCACACCAAGCCCCGCCCCTTCCCAAGCCCCAACCTACGAAGCCCCACCCAAGCAAAAGCCCTGTCACTAAGCTCAATAGCAACATAAGCTTAAGCCTTGCCCCCACCAAAGTCATCCTCATGACTTCATGTTCCAACCCTCCCAAACCCTGCCCACCCCATGCAAAAGCCTGACGTTAGGACCCACCCCACGCATGCGCAGGCGCTGACGTCAAGCTCCACCCCTCCCCAAGCCACACCCCACCAAACCACACCCCATGCAAAGGCAAGCCCTGTCATCAAGCTCCACCCCTTTCCCCGAGCCACGCCAAACCAAGCTCCATGGGATGCAAAAGCCTTGAAGCTAAGCCCCACCCCATGCAAGTGGAAACTCTGATGCTAAGCTCCATCTTTTCCCAAGCCACGTTTCACTAAGCAACACCCCACGCAAAAGACCTGTCGTTAAGCTCACCATGCACGCATAAGCCTTGATGCCAAGCCCCACATCTTCCCAAGCCACGCCCTAGCAAATCCCACCCTACACAAAAGGCTTGATGCTAAGCCCTACCCTTCCCAAACCACAACCCACCAAGTCCCACCCCACTGATGTGCAAGCCCTAACACCAAGCTCCACTGCTCCCCAAGCCACATCCACCAAACCCCACTGGATGCAAAAGCCCTAATGCCAAGCCCCACCCCTTCCCAAGCCATGCCCCACCAAGCCCCACCCCACACATGCACAATTCCTGACACCAAACCCCATCCCTTCCCAAGCCACGCCCTACCAATTCCCACTCCATGCAAAATCCTTGAAGCTAAGCCCCACCCCACGCATGTGCAATTCCTGACGCCAAGCCCCACATCCTCCCAAGCCCCGCCCCACCAAGCCCCACCCAACACATGCGCAATTCCTGATGCCAAGCTCCATCCCTCCCCAAGCCACGCCCCACCAAACCCCACCCCACGCATGTGCAATTCCTGATGCCAAGCCCCATCTCCTCCCCAAGCCACGCCCCACCAAGCCCCACCCCATGCATGAGCAATTCCTGACATCAAGCCCCATCCCCTTCCCAAGCCACGCCCCACCAAGCCCCACCCCACGCATGCGCAATTCCTGATGCCACGCCCCACCAAGCCCCACCCCACGCATGCGCAATTCCTGACGCCATGCCCCACCAAGCCCCACCCCACATGCGCAATTCCTGACGCCAAGCCCCATCCCTTTCCAAGCCTCGCCTTATCAATTCCCACCGGATGCAAACGCCCTGATGCCAAGCCCCACCCCTTCCCAAGCCACGCCCCACGCAAACGCCCTGATGCTAAGCTCCACCCCCAGAGTTCAGTCTCTGCCCCCACCCAAGTCCTCCTGCAACTAATGTTGCAATCATCCCAAACCCTTCCCTCACTTAAACTGCACCCCCACCCAAACCCTGCCCCCACGTAAGTCCAACTTATATTCCCAAGCCTCCCATTCCTATTCCCCTATGCTCCCCACCCCCACCCGAGGATGCCCCTCACCCCTTTCACACCACGTACTTCAAACACGTCCATTCTGGTCAGTGGATTTGGGGCGAGGTCAGGTGAAGAAGGGCCAAAGCCACTTTCCCTTTAGGGGAAGGGCCGGAGCCATTTGTCCTGGATGTGTGGAGTGCTCTGGCTCTGGGAAGGGTTGGGTTCTGTAGTTCTCAGGCTAGTCACTATGCCTCGAAATGCAAGGAGCCAGTGGGGTGCTAGGCCTAATCTCATGGTAACCCTCTTCGGAGGAAACCTATAGCCACAGGCCCCTGGGATGCCAAGTCCGACTGCAAGGATCATTGGGTGGGAGGAGGAGAAGTCCTGCAGTTTGGGTTGCTCTCGGGGTCCAGGGCCTCACCCCTTACCTGCTGGAGATCCGTGCAGGCCGGAGATCCGTGCAGGCCAGAGGAGATCCGTGCAGGCCGGAGTGCCGGAGCACCGCAGCCACGACGATGTGCACCTACTGCTGCGACTGCTGCCGCTGCCGCCGCAATGCACACTGGGCAGGGGGGCAGAAGGCGGGAAGAAGTTATAAAGTGCATGCACACGGCACGCTTGCGGCTGCGCCCTAGCAACCTGGACACCTCGAAAGGCGGGACTCCTTGAAAGAGGGGGGGGGGCGCAGGGGGTCCTTGTCCCTGCTCCTGTCCCCGCTGTGCCTGGGGGTAAAGAGTTCAAATCAAGCTGGGGGCAGTGTACTGCAGCCTCGGGTTAGCTACCAGCTGACCACCAGGCCGGCCACATGGGCATACCAGGCCCAGGAATCATTTAGGGGATCGTGTTGCACTGCAGCCATTGGAACGGAAGTTGAAGTGTATTGGTCTCCCATTGGCTCCCCTTAGTTGAATGACACAATCAGTGGGCTCAGTGCCGGGTGCAAAACTAAAGCCCCCCCCTCCCCCCATCACTCTTTCTAAAAAAAAGTCCCGATCCCTGCTTATGTGTTCTTGTGCAGTGTTCTAAGCGAGCGTGGCAAAAAAAATACAGCTACTACCTGCCTTTTACGAGGGCAGGAACAGTTTACCAAGAGACAGAAAACGATCATGGGTTCCATCATTCCGCCATTATTCTCTTGACTTCGAGAGCCACCATCACCCGCGTAGTATCCGATCTGCTTCCCTCCCTTTTTGGAAGGCGTTTCTTCCACTGCGGGCAGACTGGAAGGACCAATTTTTTCCGCAGGACCCAAATGCTCTGGTCCGAAATGGGCGTGAGTTGGGTACAGGGGGCGCGATGGAAAGTGTGTACAAATCTCTGGCAGATCTTGGTAAAAATCCAGATCCCACTCCAGACGATGGGGTGGGACCAAGAATCTGCAAGCTCCTCCAAA